AACAGGAAGGAAGGAAGGAAGGAAGGAAGGAAGGAAGGAAGGAAGGAAGGAAGGAAGGAAGGAAGGAAGGAAGGAAGGAAGGAAGGAAGGAAGGAAGGAAGGAAAAGACAATAGACTGATGAAAGACAGATGATAGTGTGATGACCCAGGGCGTGGCACAAAGGCAACACAGTCATATAAGTAAGAAGAGTCCCTTTAGTACCTTCAACTTTGCCCCCAATGTCCAAGTTACCTTCGGCTGGAGAAAAAACTCTCCCCAAAACAGTCTTTAAGTGGAGGAAATTCAGTCTGAAAACAAAGTACATATGAACTGTAAATAAAAATCCACACAAACCACGCTGCAGCAATTAACAGGGCAGGATAAGGAATTGCAGACTTGAAAGGCCAACAAAAGACACACAGTTGGGAAGACGCCAGGAACCCAGATAAGGCTTGACCATAAAAGATAACTCACGATTTGCTCCCAACAACTTGCTGTGCGCAGCTTCCCTTTTTAAACCCTGTGTTCCCAGCTGCAGCTAATGAAGGGAATCAGGGCCCTTTCCTCCCCCGTGAGCCACGCAACCCACATTGCTCCCTTGTCCGTTCCTCCCTGCGTGCCCTAGGATGAAGAGCGGGTGGGCCTGGGTCTTCCTCTGAACTCTCTCTCTCCCTTGTTCTACCTCTCCCTTGCTTTGCCCAGCTGGACTTTGCCCTCCCCCAGTTTCTTCCACACCCAACGGAGCCACACTCTCACTTCCTGTCAGCTGCTCGGCCTCCCCCTCCGAATCAGACTCCGACAGGGGCATGACAGATAGATATAGATGGATTGATGATAGACAAACAGACTCTTATCACACAAGCACCAAATATTAATGACAATTTTAGGCAAGGCGTCTATTCCAAGAGAGAGGAAAATAGCAAGAGATTGGTGACAATTTCTCAATTTTGTGTGTAATTTCATCCAGTTTTCATTCCTGGCCTGTGAGTCAGCTCGTAATTCTGGAGACAATTAGCCCTATCCAAGATTCCCCCACCTTTAACATCCTCCAAATGATTATCCTGAAAAATACCGTCCATCAGACGTTTTCATTGAGTTCCTCTGGTGCATTATTAAATTAGCAAAAACAGAGATTAATGTCCAGAGAGTGCCAAAGATCAGATTACATTCCTTCATGTCTCTGCAAATTACTAAGATTAGGGATTAAGTCTGTCAGGGCTTGCTCGATGCTGACCACTTCCCGTCTGCTCATAATATTTATATATTTATATATATTTATGTAACATATTTGTGTGCTCAATTTTGTTTAACTCTGGCTTTACACAACTCACAATTCCATGGGGCTGAGAGACCAAGATAAAGCAAGGTTGAAGCCACCCATGGATGTAGCTCCTATAAACCCTCACCATTTGTGGTGTGGCTTATGGAAGTTGGAGTGAACCAACATCTGAAGAACCTACCTCTGGAGTGGAAGTGTTACACTCTTGTCTTTTGAACCAGTTTGGTCTAGTGGTTAAGACACCGGGTTAGAAATCAGGAGACGGTGAGTTCAGGTCCTGCCTTAGCCCTCAAATCACCAGCTAAGTGATTGTGGGCCAATCACCAGGGGATGGTGAGTTCTAGTCCCACCTTAACCATCAAAGCCAATTGGATGACTTTGAAACAATCACCAGGCAATGGTGAATTCTAGTTCTGCTTTAGGCATGAAGGTTGGCTGGGTGACTTTGGGACAAACACCAGGCGATGGTGAATTCTAGTTCTGCCTTAGGCATGAAGGTTGGCTGGGTGACTTTGGGACAAACACCAGGCGATGGTGAATTCTAGTTCTGCCTTAGGCATGAAGGTTGGCTGGGTGACTTGGACAGTCCTTCTCTCAGCCCAGCGCATCTCACAAGGTTGTTGTTGTGGGGAAAAACAAGATGAACATGTTTGCCATCTTATTTGTAAAACTAATAAAGGTGGGATACAAATTAATAAATAAAACCAAAGCCCAATGCTCTAAATTATTATTTATTTGCATCACCAGTGGCTGGGGAAGATGGGAATTGTCGCTCAGCCCTTCCACTTGCCCAAAAGCATTTGGTTTGACCCCCCCCCCTTCTGCCTTCTTGCAACGGTTTTAAGTGCATTTCAATACCCTTTGGAGAATCATCCAAGGACCTTGTTTCAGATGGCATGGCTAGTCTAGTGAAGAGAAGGATCAAGGGAGACAGGAGAGCAGCCTTCCAGTATTTGAGGGGCTGCCACAGAGAGGAGGAAGGCGGGTCAAGCTATTCTCCAAAGCCCCCGAAGGCCAGACAAGGAATAATGGATGGAAACTGAACAAGGAGAGATTCAACCTGGAAATAAGGAGAAACTTTCTGACAGTGAGAACAATCAACCCATGGAACAGAAGTTGCTCTCGGAAGTTGTGGGAGCGCCATCACTTGAGACTTTCAAGAAGCGACCGGACTGCCATCTGTCAGAAATGGTGTAGGGTCTCCCACTTGGGGGGGGGGCTTTGGACTAGATGACCTACAAGGTCCCTTCCAACTCTGTTAATCTGCAAGATGTCCAGCTTGAAGTTGGGTGGAACATCTAGAGCGGAAAATATTTCTCCTGGTCTCATATTCTCCTTTTGCCACAGCTCAGCTCACGTGTCGAGGAAAACAAGTTGGATCAAGAGGTTTTGTTTGCGTTACCACCAAGAGTCATTTATTCACAATCCGGGCAAAGCCTATTTTCCACGCTCCCTGCCACAACATAATACAGATTCATATTTCCAGCCAGTGGTTATATAACCATCCAGGTGTTCTTTCCCACAGAGGCAGAGTAAGGAAGCTACCAGAAGCACAAACTGAGCACGGCCATAAGAGAGGGTTTTATTTCTTGTGGTCATGCCAACGAAACGGGTTTATAACTCGCTATTGTTTCTCTGTTAACTGTCACGGAGACGAAAAAGAAATATTCCCACTCTTAAAAATCATTACAGGCAGTCTTCGACTCACGATCAAACCCAAAATTTCCATTGCTATGTGAGACAGTTGTTGAGTGGCACCCCATTTGACCTTTCTTGGCCCAGTCATTAAGTGAAGCAGTGCAGTTGTCAAATTAGGAACACGGTTGTTAATGAACCTGGCTTCCCCATGGAATTTTGGCTTGTCAGGTTTGCAAAAAGGGAGTCACGTGGACACTACAACTGTCGTAAATATGAGTCAATTGCCAAGTGGCTGAATTTTGATCACGTGACCTTGAGGAGGAGGCTGTAATGGTCGTTAAGTGTGAAAAATGGTCATAAGTCGCTTTTCTTTTATCATTGCCACTGTAACTTTGAAGTCACTAAAGAGAACTACTTGTACTTATAAAACAATAATAATAATCCCACCAGGCTCCAGGTCAACCCAGCCTTCTTCCGAGGTGGGTAAAATGAGGAGCCAGATTGTTGGGGGCAAGAGGCTGACTCTGTAAACGGCTTAGAGAGGGCTGTAAAAGCACTGTGAAGCGGTATATAAGTCTAAGTGCTATTGCTATTAACAGTGGCCTAATAGCCAGAGAGGGGACATATAAATTAATAAATCAAATGTAAAAATAAATGGGTGGCATATAAATTTAATAATTATGTATGTATGTATGTATGTATGTATGTATGTATGTATGTATGTATGTATGTATGTGGCATTCGGCTTTGTTCGGGTATTTTCCCACGTCATTGTAGTCGTTCTTTTAAAGTTGTAGCAAAGTTTCAGCAGAATCTCATCTGCCATCTAGATAATAGTTATGAATAGATCTATAGATGGATACAGTAAAGATGATAGAAATAAAATAGAGATATATGATAGGGATGATATATGATACATACAGATGAATAAAGACACAGATAATAGATGATAGACAGACAGGATAGATGATAAATGATATAGATGATGGACAGATAAGATGATTGACAGATGATAGATGATAGACAGATGATAGGTAGACAGATGATAAATAGATGATAGACATAGATAGATGATAGCTAAGGAGCACCCAATATTGCAACCAGCACCCAAGAATCCAAGCCAGGGGAGGATTTAAACATCTGGACAGGGTCCAACATCTGGACAGGGAATCCCAGCCTTTGTCCTGGTCACATTTAGGTCTGAAACCTGGAATGTTAGGAAATGGGGGAAACCCTGTTAATCGTGGCTTGTTGCACACACACACACAAAAAAGCTTCCTTCCAGGGAAAGCCCATCTTTGCCCGACAGACTCCTTGGGCCAAGGGTGCAAGCAAGGATTTAGGAGCATCTTTGCTTAGCCCCGCCCCATCGTGGTTTGCCCGGGGTTTCTTTTGGCTGCAACCAGCATTCTCTGCGCACGCGGCAGGTGGCGCCGCCAGCGTTCCAAAGGGGCGGGGCTGAGCGTTTCCCGATCGATTCGCTCGGCTTTCCCCTCGTCCGGCCTGGCTCGGCGCTCCCTCATTCCGGAAGTGGGGGAAGAACCGCGATCGTAGGCAGCGTCGGGCCTCGCCCCGCCGGTTCGTCCGTCTTCGGTCATGTCCACCATGGTTTTCGGGGCGAAAAGCTTCAAGCCGAGGGCGCCTGATAAGGGCGCCTTCCCCTTGGATCATTTCGGTGAGGGGGGGGGTTGGGGGACAGTGCGCATGCGCGGCTCTTCAAAAGCGCGATTCCGCACAGAGACTCCGTCCCGGCGATGAGAACTCCCACCATAGACATGGTAGCTAGAGCGTCGCCACCTCTCTAATACAGGGTTTCTCGATGGTTTTAAAGCGGGTGGACTTCAAGTCCAGTCAGCCATGTTGGCTGATGGCTCCTGGGAGTTGAAGTCCATACACATTTAAAGGGGCCACGTTTGAAAAAAAAATAGTACATGTAGTCCTCGACTTACAACAGTTTGCTCAGTGACTGGAGGTACAACGGCACTGAAAAACGTGACTTACGACCGTTGCATTATTCCCCCGTGGTCACGTGGTTTATATTCGGAGGCTCAACAGCCGACTCACATTTATGATGGTTGCAGCGTCCTGGGGTCACGTTTTGCGACCTTCTGACAAGCAAAATCAAAGGGGAAACCAGATTCACTTAACAACCATGTGACTAATTTAACAACTGCAGTGATTCATTTCACCGCTGTGGCAAGAAAGGCCGTAAAATGGGGGAAAATTCACTTCACATCTGTCTCACTTAGCAACAATAACATTGGGCTCAATTGCGGTCGTAAGTTAAGGACTACCTGTATTTTAGACCAGGGGTCTCCAAACTTGGCCAAGTTTAAGACTTGTGGACTTCAACTCCCAGAATTCCTCAGCCAGCAAAACTGGCTGAGGGATTCTGGGAGTTGAACTCCACAAGTCTTAAAGTTGCCAAGGTTGGAGACCCCTATAAAATTTAGACTATAGGGAGATTTCCCTAACAGAAACTCCAGCTCTGTGAGACCCTCCCAATATTTTCCTTCTGATGCTTTGGGACTACACCTTCCATAACCCCCAGCCTAAAGATGGCTGAAGATAAGCACCAAGCTTGCAAATCCCCCCTACATATCGGATCCAGAGACTTTCTCCTGAATAAATCCGTTCCAAAACTGGACGCAGCCACTTACGTGAATCACTTTCAACAATCGTTGGCCTGCGAATTGCCTGTCAGACTGCAACTCCCATTATCCCCAGCCGGCGCTGGCCAGCAAGGATGAGAGCAGCTGCAGGAAAACCAGGCGTGGGTTTGCAAATTGCATTGCAAAGCAGAGTCAAAAATTCGCATCTCGGGATGAGCCACCGTGTAATTTGGGGTGAACGTTTTTAGTAAGCCATAGTTTGTGAAAGAATTAGGATTAGAACAGAACAGAAGGCAGAATAACAGAGTTGGAAGGGACCTTGGAGGTCTTCTAGTCCAATCCTATACCATTTCAGATTTCAGGTTATCCAATCTCTTCTTAAAAACCTCCAGTGTTGGAGCATAATACAACTTCAAGTTGTTCCACTGGTTAATTGTTCTCACTATTAGGCAATTTCTCCTTAGTTCTAAGTTGCTTCTCTCCTTGATTATCCATCCGTTGCTTCTTGTCCTGCCTTCAGGAGCTTTGGAGAATAGCTTGACTCCCTCTTCTTTGGGGCAGCCCCCGAGATATTGGAAGACTGCTATCCTGTCACCCCTAAGTCCTCCTTTTCACCTCTCCTAGAACTTTCATCCTTTTTCCAGACTCCTCGTCCTGTCTTTGGCATACGCTATCCTTTTTGGGGTACTCTTTAATTTCAGGCATATTTTACTTTTTTTCTTCTAAACGAAAGCAAACCAGGTTTTTGTTTTGTTTTTTTGTGCAGGAGAATGTACGCTCTTCAAAGAAAAATTCATGAAGTGTCTGCAGGCAAATAACTTCGAGAACGGATTGTGCAGACAGGAGTCGAAAGAATACCTAGAATGCCGAATGGAGAGGTGAGCTGAAGTTAATGGATGTTTGGCTCACCCTGCACGAGTCCAGATTGGCTAAATTAGCGCTCCAGGCATCTCTGATCTGCGCAATCTCAAGACAGGAAGGCAATTTCTCTTTCTTTCTTTCTTTCTTTCTTTCTTTCTTTCTTTCTTTCTTTCTTTCTTTCTTTCTTTCTTTCTTTCTCTCCTTCCTTCCTTCCTTCCTTCCTTCCTTCCTTCCTTCCTTCCTTCCTTCCTTCCTTCCTTCCTTCCTTCCTTTTTCTATTCTCTCTCTCTCTCTCTCTCTCCCTTCCTTCCTTCCTGTGAATATTTTTATTCACAGCAGAAACAGAAATGTACCAATTAAAAGTAAATGCTGGGGTTTGTAGGAAGCTAAATTATCTTGTCCTGCACCATGTGCAAGAGCCTTCTGTATATATTCTAGAATTTATCGTATCCACACACACAGATACACACAGAGAGCACTTGATATAATCCTTTGGGGCATGTGTGTGTGTGTGTGTGTGTGTGTGTGATTGCTTTTAGAGAGATTAAATTATTCAACAATGGAAACGAACATGGCTAAATGTGCAGCCTTGAAGCCTTAACGATTTATTCCCTCTTGTTTGATTTCTTCAAGGGAGCTGATGGCCAAAGAGCCCCTGGAAAAACTGGGTTTTAAGGACCTTAAGGAAGAGAAACCCAAAGACCAACCTGAGACAGTGCGACAAAATCCCTCCTGACCCTCAATTCTGACCCCAGAATCTGCAGCCATCTATCTATCTATATCTACATGTATATATATTGTACGTGGTCTCGTTTGCGTTTTGTTTTAAGAGATTCTCTTAAAAGGTCACAGAAATTTAGCAAATGGCGGATTTGTAGGCATTCACTCCAGAAGTGAAGGATGGTGAGGTTTGTTTTCCAGCTGTTTCCATAGTTTTGGGATGTTTTTTTTCCCCCTTAAAAGAAAAGGAGAAAAGATATGAGATGCCTTTGGATAGAATGTTTGGACTTGGGTTTGAAAACTGATATTCGAACATTAAATTCAGAAGTTGGGCTGTTAGATTTTTGTCCTCTGAACTGAGTTTTTATTCAAGATTTAGCCTTCTTTTTCTCTGTCCTCCTGTGAGGAATTTTAGCCATGCAGGATTCTGGCTGCAACAGGATGTGTATGAGTGTGTTTGGGGGCGACTGGCTTGGTCAGCAGCTGTTCGCAGTCATGACGTTGGGGAAGACGTGAATTTGCAACCAATTCCCTCCATCGATAAACCTTCACAGTACAGCGAAAAAGGGGAAAGCCGAAAGGGGTCAGAACCTTTTCAGACCCACGGGCCAGGCATTCTGAAACTATGCAATCCATCTCTTGGTGGTTCTTGGGGAAAACAAACCACCTTTTCTTGTTCTGAAAAAGATTATGCGGAGAATTCCGCTCCAGGCAGTCGCAGGACCCAGCAACGGTGGGAAGAATCCGGGCGTCACAATGGCTCCCTTTGACCAAGGATGTCTTTGCTTTGCCACAACCTGGATAATAAATGAGGAGAAATACTTAAAAACCCACCCACCCCACCCCATCCGAGGTCAATCAAAGGAGGGGAGGAACAAAAACCCAGAGGCTCACCCTTTTTGCTATCGCTCAAGTACAAGGCCAAAGGGAAAGGCAAAAGGAGTTGGCATTGCACCTGATTAGTTTCCCCCCAGCCCCCAAAAAGGACCAAACCTCTGCCCCCCTCCTCTGCTTTTCCCCCCCTCTAGTGCAGCAACCAGGAGGAAATGAGACGCCTGCCTCAACCAGTCCAATGTGGTTGTATTATCCAAATTGGGGGTGTTGGTGTTTAAGGTTTGTTGAAAGACAACCGAGGTCTCCTTGTGGTGTTTTTTTTTTGGGGGGGGTGTGTGTGGCAAGAACCTGTCTTTATGTTCATGCATTTTGTTGTGCGCTGCCCAGAGATGTACACAGCTGCCCGGCTCTCAACAATAGGCGACTCTGGGCAGCTTACAACATTAAAAAAAAAAAAATCTACCATGTAAAATCCCTACAACAACAATGGGTTGAGCTGGCTATCGTGACTACAGCGGGACTAGAACTCACAGTCTTTGCTGATCCGGCCAAAGTCACCAGTTGCCTTTCATGCCTAAGGTGGAACTAGAACTCACAATCTCCTGGTGATCAACTCAAGGTCACCCAGCCAGCTTTCATGCCTAAGGCGGGCCTGGAACTCAAAAATCTCCCGCTTTCTAGCCTGGCGCCTTAATCACTAGACCAAACCAGCTTCATTGTAATATTAATTAAATTAGTAGGTTAATTTTCTAGTGGGAGAGACGCTGATGGGGAAGCAGGAAAAAGGGATGAACTCATCTCGAATTGTGTTTGCTGCTAAGCCAGTTCAGAGAGAAACACAATGATGCAAGTGAGGGCACCAGGGACACTCCTGAAGTAGGAAAAAGCCGACGGCGCTACTACTCTGTGTATCTTGGATCAATTTCAGCTGCTCTCTTTCTCTCTTCCTGATCGTTACACTCCCTGCTCCAATGTGATGGATTTCCCATAAGTTTGCAACAGTGGGAAGATCCATTCTTTTATGGATTTAGCTCTCCTGCAATTCCTTTACCCGACCAAACCTGAATTTGCAAAGGTTTAAAGGAGTCTTTGGTTACTTGACATTATGCATGTAAAATGGTTTGCGTACATAAAACTCTACACCAGTTTTATTTTATTGGTTGACTCATTTTATTATGGCTCCTGCCACTCAGCATCAATCAGGACAGGGCAGATTGTTCAATATTATTCAATAAATATTGTTCAATAAATACTGTTCAATAAATATTGTTCAATAAGTCCGATTGGCCAGTTCCATGGGCGGGGGGAGAAATCGTTTAAAAGCCCCACTCATTCTTTTATGCCGCAGAATCTGCTATTCTGTCAAAGATCGAATCTCGTTCCGTAGAACTTCAGCTGGCTCAGAAACATTTCGTTAAAAAAAAAA